GAGAGAAGATTGGATATGAGAGTATAAATACTTACAGCGCTTGAAAAACTTCTGATCAGAGGAACGAAAACCCCAAGATCGATACAGTCACTCTCCGTGAAAGATGGCATAGCATAACAAAGGTCATCGAAGATGAAGTATGAGCAACATATCACAGAAGTTATTGAAATTATGAATAGCCAGCAGATCAACTGAAAAACAGAAGGATCATCAATGCTATATTTTATCTACTTTCAGCCACTTATTTTATGGTGTCAACGAAACGAAAATTTTGGAAAATCTCTCGTCAATTGAAATAAGAAACACAATGAGTACGAACGCGGAGTTTTCTCATTACTTTGGGTGCCCCAACGTTCTATAGCGAACGCTGAACGGATGAACTTTTGTGAAAGAATTCCAAATCTGTTTCACATTCCCACAAATTGATAATTCTTATTTTTAACTAGCACCAAACAAGCTATATGGTCGAAAATTTCATAGCACAAAGAAATAAAAATCCGTTGAGATTAAGACACTTACCAGGAGCACACACCAAGCCATAGCAGTAGCGCACGCACACCTTCCTCCGAATCTAGCTTGATCACCTGAAAAGACATCATTCCTACAATTAATTGAGCGAATACAGATCAGAAAACTCACGTTTATAAATTTCTTCTCGTGTTGCTCCCGTAGCTGTGAAGCCAACAAGAAGGAAAAATAGAGCAAACAGCGACATCAGAACAGCGATAACGACGAAGAACACTTGAACCTAAATGTGCACGTGAAATTTAATATTGCTAAAGATATTAGAAGAACATGAACTCAAGGACACTAACCTTATCAAGCCACGGCCAATCCTGAATTCGTAAGGACCTCCTAGTTTGCTCAACGGTTGCGTTGAATCCCCAAGTCATCATGATGGAGAAGAGAATTACTCCAATGAAGCAAAGGAGAGTGGCGATAAGAGATGCATATGGGACCCTACATAAGAACATCGAATCTATTTGATTGTATTATGGAAACCATCTTCATTTTATACCGTATCCTCATATTTCGGTAGAATTTCTAAAGAGATTTCATCTCAGCTTTCCAATTGAGATTGACAACATTTTACACTTGTCACTCGAAAAATAGGGAGACTTTGAACAATCTGACCATTCGAAAACCATCCCATAATTTTTACAGGTGATATACTTCCTCTTCTGAATATTCAAAGCAAAGGACAAGCACACCAATGTTAACTATTCTAATGAAGCGCAAAATTCCTCAAACTCTTCATTGTGTTAAAAGAAAAATATCCCAATGTTAAGTAGAAGAGTCAGCAAAGAAGGTTATTGGAGAAATATTCACAGTGATGTCATAAATGCAACCAATCTTCCCATCTTGCGCCGACTCCTTTCACAAGAGGTCAAAATGGGACAGGTGTATACGGAATAAAACTAGTAAAACAAATAGCAAAAAAAACAAGATAAAGTACTACCTGTTGAAGCAACCATCATTTGGATGCGATTTTAAGGGTATGGCTCCATTGATAATCTCTGGTTGTCGTCCTCGACGAGGAGGAGCGTCGAGCACCACCCCGTAGGCTTCTCCTCCACGAATCTTGTTCCTGTCAAGGAGAATTTAAAGATTATGAAGCTATAAAGCAAAAAAAAAACAAGGAAAATCAGGTAAGAGGAGAACCAAGAAAGTCAGCTCCAAGGTAATTTTGCGTCCGCGGACAATAATTTATGGAGCACAAAATCTGCCAAAGAGTCAAGTTTGTGCAAACTTTTGCGTCGCTTAGCAGGAATTGCAGGGGATCATTATGGCTGCCGTTATCAAATTTAACCTGCTCTATGTCCCTGAGGTCCATAGACTAATAGCCGTTTCTTGATTTGAACTTGTATTAAATTTGGTAGCAGTGTTCAAAAGTATCTGCCCAGCTAGAAGACGAAAAAGGAATGTGAGAAGCTACTGAAACAATGAAATCCATCAGACATTTACTTATTAGGCATTTGTGATTATAAGAATGCAGCTCTTGGAGCAACATAGAGCTCAGTAGAAATGTATTGAAATAAATTTCGTCGTGAGTGTAGTG